CATCTCGGAAACTAAAAGCATTTGAGCAGTCGCGTTTATCATTCGCATGTGGCAAGATTTGCAACTCTTTAGAGTACCCTAACAACACCGAAGTATAGCGTTGGGAATTTCAAATTTCGAAAAACAATAACTTTAACTTTCTGAAAATTTTGAAAAAATCACAAAAAACGTCACATCTCGAAAACTACAAGGATTTGAGCAATCATATTTGGAGGCAAGATTCGCGATCCTTGATAGTACTCTGTCAGGGTTGGGAATTTCAGATTTTAGAAAAAAATATTAATAATTTAAGTTTTCTGAAAATTTTTGAAAAAATCACAAAAAAACGTCATATCTCGAAAACTAGAAAAAATTGAGCAGTCATATTTGGAGGCAAGGTTCGCAATCTTTGAGATTACTCTGACAGGACCCAACAACAGGGTTGGGAATTTCAGATTTTGCGAAAAAAAAATTTATGTTTTCTGAAAATTTTCAGAAAAAATCACAAAAAACGTCATATCTCGAAAACTACAAGGATTTGAACAGTCATATTTGGAGGCAAGAATTGTAACTCCTTAGCGTACTCTGACAGCGCCCAACTACAGGGTTGGGAATTTCAAATTTTTTAAATTATTTTGTTATTTGAAATTTCAGATAATTTTTGAAAAAATCTCAAAAATCGTCTTATCTCGTTAGCTAAAATGAAAATGATTCGGGCATTCAAAATTGGAGGCCAAATTCGCAACCCCTAATTCGATATTGGGCTGCTTAATTTAAACTCGGTTAAATAACCACTAAAATCAAATTGGAAATCGAAAAAAATTCTTAACCATTGCACTATACGATATAGCTTAAAAATGCAAAAATAATACGTTGAAAAAGCTTAAACATGGCGAGATAGTGAAGCCCGCATTTAAATATATAATAGATAGATAATAGATTATTATTTTATGATTTATGAGCACTTTTACGCCAGAAATGAAGTTTCATACATGTTAAGCTGTAGCATCAGATGGCAACCGGGGTGAAACTAAAAAAGCCCTACATTCGTTATGGTACATATTTTTGACATTAGTCTGAAATCTTTCTAACTAAGCAATATGAAATTTTTCATTGAAGCCAAAAAAACTGCATATTTTAAGAACAAAATACTAATTGTTTGACGCCATTCAGAGTTTCTCCGGGTAATTTTGCTACAAAGTATAAGTTACTTAGACAACAAACAACTTCAAGACTTCGCGTTTCATTTTTAGTGACATTATACCGGAAACTTTAATTATAAAATCTACTGTTTTGGGCAAAAAATGGTCTGATTCATTTTATGCACTACTGCGCATGCTGAGTTCCCTCGCGAATCAAAGGAATTTATCGTCTCAGTTTTCCTATTCCCTAAATTTTGCATACTTAAGAAGTCATTATTTGTCAACGCAGTTGATGATTTTTTCCACCGCAATTTGGAGTTCAATAACAGCTCTGCTTCAATGGCAGCTTTGATCGTTTAAAAATGTTATTCAAAGACCCTAAGGCACAAAGGTAATGGAACGTTCCTTTAACTTTTACACAAATTCTAATCTTTGAATTCTAACTTTTGATCTTCGCTCTTTCATCGGCAGAAAGATGCAAACAATCATTTGCGCAGATTTAGCTATTTCATCCATGCATTAATTTAGCTCAGGTGGTCGGGAAAATATGGCAAATCAATTTATCGTACCACCCTTAGGCTGCGCATTAGTCTCATTATCTACATAGCAAGGGTAGCGATAAAAACCCACGCAAGGGCTGATGTATTGAGATATGAACAGATCTATTCTGGCGTAAAAAACGCATTTCATCAAGTCTTCTTTTGTGTTCACGTCTGCAAATCTGAGTTTGATCACACCTGAAGGACGTTCAAGAGGAGTCGGAGATCTTCGCAAGTGGCAACCGAATGTCAAAATGAGGGAAAATTGAACCGCGGGCACATTTCCCCACAAAATGTCAAATGCACCTGATACCACTAATCGATCCGTACTTACTTTCCTATGGTTGAAACTTATAACAAACCGGACACATGATCTGAGCACGTGAAGTTAAAAACTATTTTTATTTACACCTTCTGTCAGTAAATTATGGCAGAGAATAGCTGGAAAGAGTTTAAGTGATTGCTTGACCACACTTCGCATAAATGTCCAAATAAAGACACTATATTTGTTCTCTTATGACACTGAATGAATTGCAGTAAATAGTGTTGACGTCAATGATATTTAAAGCCTTTCACCTTCTCTACAAACTGACGACAGTTTTTTGCTCAAGTTCATGGGTTAAAAGGAGACTATCATTTACGTCACGCGATCCTTACGGTGCAATTTTAAAGTCACTGATTAATATTATATTTGATCATCATATCTCACAGAGTTAAACTCTGCGTTAAATGACGTCACAATTTTTTTGCATTTGTCTGAGACCTTAGTTACGTTAGTCTGAGGATAAAAAATTGACAGTAACTCGTATACGTCAGCTTACAGATTAAAAAGGGTTAAACTGACCAGTTTGTCGTCGCATTTTTTACTTTGAATACTGAATTTTTGGATTAATTGTTAAATCCACCCTCCCTAAGTGACTTACTTTAAAATCCATCTACCCAGTATGTATGTACACCGAGGCAAGCAGAGATTCACACCACTTGCGATTCATAAACTTCTACTATGTCACATAGTATTTAAATTTTTATTTAGACTATGATATTCATCAACGAACAAACTGGCTAATAAAAAAACGCTAAATAATTATTTCTCAAAACACATTTTTCAAGGGCAACCAATTTCATTCATTCTAGCGAACTTTCAGATCATAAAAGCTCATTTGACAAACTCAGACAAAAGAATTATTTTACACAGGCGAAACTGAGCTTCGCACCACTTGCGATACAAAACAAGAAAGCCGCTAAGTCGAAAAAAAACATAGCCCACTGAAGTTGGTAAAAAGTAATGAACGCAAGTAACCAAGAATGAAAAACGAACTTGTTGTTTGAAAAAAAAACTTTCGAAATTTATTTTAAAAATATATACCCTTAAAGCTCTTTGAACTTCAAAAACAATTTATGATTGACGCTTTTCTGATAAAATGAACTCAATTTTCAAAAAAAAAAACTGGATCAACAGTACCACACTGCGCTTGGCTTGTGTAATTAAAAAGGATTGTCAAACAAAAACGATTTATAATTCCGTGTATAAAAACAAAAGTTGCCATTGAATCAAAAAGACAAAAATGGTTAAATAACAATAGAGCTAACAGTTCTAGAACGCAAAATCCAGTCTTAGAATACTCATATCACAGTCTTTCATTGCACTTCGCGTATATCCATTTTCAATTCACTTAGATCATCATGCTTTTGACGCCAAATCTGAACCCATGTTTTGAATAGAAACATCGAATATATGACTAATATCGACCAGGAGGGGGTCCTCGCATCATTGGGGGTTGCATGTAACCCGGGCCGGGTGGGGGGCCTCCATGAAAACCAGGAGCCATCATCTGGTGCGAGGGTGCTCCATATCCAGGCGCGGGGCCTTGCAGACCAGGAGCAACACCCATGGGTCCGGCTCCTCTCCCAGCCGCTCTACCCATGCCCGGTCCTCCAGCACCTGGGTTATTAACTAAGGGTACTCGTCTGTCTTCTTGAACAGGTGGTCCGACTACTGTTAAGGATACTAAATGTTCGCCTCTTAATAGAACCAAACCCAGCACTCTTCGTTCCTCTTTTTCGCCTGACTTTTTGGGTTTTATTTTCCTCATTTCTTCACAGTCGCCCAAAATTACGTTCATGTGCTTGTCGAACGCTAAAAAGACTCCTTGCAGCTCGCGACTATCTTGCAACATAACTCGGACTTTGTAGTTAATGTGCTGTTGAATTTTCGAAGACCGACCTGCCATTTCTATATCTGAAAATGGACACATTCAATTATACCTGTAGCATATAATACACGTAAACTTTTCGTAAATAAACAACAGTCAAAGAAACTTATTGTCTCGTTTGATCTAGACTGGCGACCAAGAGAGATTCAGAGACCAACAAAGGCACTCCCTAACAGAAGTTCAGGACGGGGGCGATCGAAAACTGGCAAAACAGAGCATCCACGCTCAGCACGAGGAGATGAAAAACAACATCTTAAGTGAAATCCACTTTCTACGACAGCTTAACTTGTCACTACTGAAGGAAAAATTCGAAACAGGTGAAGCTCTTATTTAGGACTGAAAAAAAAAACAAGAAAATCAATAAAAGCTAGAGATAATATCAAAATCTTTTAGACACTAGCAATGTAAATGACACTGACAGCATGGAAAGAATTCTGCAAATTGCCGACGAAGTTGAACTTTTCCAGAAACGAGTCATGACCTTGGAAGAAAAGGTCAGTCTATCCCCACAAATCTTAGCTAACCTCACAGAACCATTTTCAACAATCAAAAAGCCCGGCGAATTTGAATCAAAATATCCTAAGCTTTTTTGGACCAATACTATATTGGTTGTGCGGTGCAGTTTTCAGCCAGTCAGAATCAAGTATTTAGGCATTCCTAAATAAAATTATTCAATCTGGCTTGAATAAAAGAGGGGTGCGGGATTCTACTCCCTCTGTTTATTTGGGAGGGGGAGGGGAATGGGATGATGTAACTTTGATGGGAGAACATTTACTGGTTTAGTTGAGCAACATCCAAATGTGGTTGATGGAGATTGAGAACGACAAGATGATCGGAAGCGACGAGTGGATCCAACTCAAATACGAGGCCTCAATTCTGCTCCTAGAAGCAGCACATGAACGGCAGACTGCCCATGTGAGTGCACTGAGACGACGCAGCACACAGAAGACTGTGAGGAAGCAACGCAGATCGGCCAGTTTCACAGGGGCCACACCCGAGATCAAACAACACGTATGGCCCATGATTTATCCCAATTCATTCTTCATTTCTCTTAATTAATTTGAAAAAAAATTATAGTCTGACAAGAAAGAAGAAATAGAAGTCCAGATGACCCCGTGTTTTGTCCTCTCCGAGCCCCTTTACCGGAATTTTTAATAGTTTTTCGGCGCCAGCGTTTTATCTTAATTAACTTCAAAATTTAATTTAAAATTTCAGGATTTTAAGCGATGACACAGTTATGTTTCTAGGAGGTACCGACGGAGCGCGCCACAATGCATTTGGAAGGCGGTAGTTTAAGTCTACAGGCCGTTGGCTCGATTAAAAGGAAGAATAAAAGTCATCGAAGACAACACTCGAACAATGAGGTATCTTCCATCCATCATACTCTTGGTCAGCCGACCAACAGAATCAAAGAAACAACGGATGGGTCGCCAGTTTGGATAGGTAAATCACTCTCATGTTTTCTACAAAACAATAATTGTTTACACTGTAGTATCAATAAATTATGGAAAGATAACCGTGACATTTTGGTGTTCTGATCGCAGTTTTCAAACCTCGGTGGCGCTAAGATTTCATAAGTAAGCTCATGTGAGCAAGCCATAGTTTAGATTGGCTTTTACACTTAGCATATTCATGGGGATTCGCTCAGGGATTTCCACCCTCCTCCTTTTGGTACTACTTCATAACATCCATTTCTGGCCGACCAACCCTTCGTTTGTTTTTGCGAGAGTTGGTACCTCTTGAAAATTCTAGATCCGCCCCTGAGTTACCATCCGGTTTATGCCTCGGGCCGCACATCACAAAATTTTTTTTATCGAGATTGTATATTAGAACGTCGCGGCGAGGACGGACAAATTGCGGAGGAGTTAGTGGCCGTGCCCGGGGGATCCCGCACATTCCCCAGAAGACATCGCCAGAGATCCTCGAAGTCTGCGATTGCATCTAAGGTGGTCGGCAACACTCATGGTATCATTCCCACTGCTCTCGATGCTCAAGGTCATCCAGTCAAACATCAATACGAAAGCTCCGATTCAGATGATGCTGCACATGTAAGAGTGTTTCTTCCAGCTATTATTTTTTTACCCAATTTACCAAATGGTTAACTTGAACCATTAATAAAAAGGTGCGAGTTGAGGAAGAAACACTTTTCTTGCATCTTCGCTTGCAAAACCCTACAGCGCTAATTGGAAAACTTTTACGTTTGAAAATAACTAAATTATACTTTTGAAAATAACGATTTTCAGGACGCTAATGTGCACGAAGCGGTCGCACGTCGTCGCAGCAGCGGAGGCAGCAACAATACCAAAACTCCAACAAATGAAGAAAAACACAAAGTCACCCGAATCGCCCAAGAGCAAGTTGCAACACAGCACACAATACCGCAACAGACAGGGACCAAAAACACTGCACTCAAAGAACAAGAATCTATGCAGGTAAAAGAACCAGACAATAGTTTCCGTTACAATAGAAAAAAAAACAATTTGCAACACCTCAATGCAAATAAATGAGAACACACCCCATTTTGCTATACATTCGGAAAAAAAGAGGTTACTCAAAATAGGAGGTTTGCTTATAACTCGTTTTTTTTTTCTAGAGCGATTTCATTCCGATAGGCGAAACAGCCACACCACAATCGTCTACTTCATCACTAGTGACGTCATCAGAAGCGACCACTGCTCATGCCTCCAAACAGCGGAAGCACCAGTCCTCAGATAAAGCACTACTTTCCACTGCCGAGGGATCCCGATTCACTGTCTACAACGTCACAAGCCAGCAGTCACTGCGACCCTCTAGCAGTATTAGCAGCACTACCTTCTCACCCCCTACCACAGTGCAGACACAAACTATGCGACCTATGGCTTCCAGCACCCTCAACCACAGAACAACCGGGATGCTGGGAAAGAACCAAATTGAAGCTGTAATGGGTTACGGAACACAGACTCTTGGAAGACACCAAACCGGTGCTTCCAGTCATCTCATGCAAGCTTACAAGCACGACGCCCACCACTTTTTACACAATCAGACAGTTAGCTATAAATCACAGCAGCAGCATCACGGAAGCGGAGCAGTGAATTTTCAAATAGCAGACAGCAGTGATGAAGCTAGTCTTTACCACTACTCGACTAGACGTGAGTACTAATCAAACAAAGCTATGCATTAAGCGCTTTACTTAATAACAAATTATTGACCAAATTGTCAAATAAATCATTTGGACCGATAGACCGATAATTGCGCCGTATTACATTTTTGTTCAAAAAAGCGAAAAAAATCAATCAACAGGAGTAATTGATGTTCTTAAGGCCTTCAAATTTTTTCTCGAATGTTCTCGGACATTGCATGGACGTATCGAAATGGTCCTTAAATATTTAGGTCAAGTGGATCAGCAGAAACGCGTGAAACCGCAGAAGCAAGGACTGACAGTAGTTGAAAAGAACCCTTCAACTTATGCACGAGCACATCTGACAGTTGACGAGCAGGATCCGTGGCGTACGTCGCCATCACCTATGGCTACCCTAGACAACTCGGCAAACGTTAGCCGACAACTTTCGCCTGAGACATGCATAGACGGTCGAATGCCACCTAGTTACAGCACGCAGATAGCTAGGTCGAAAGAATCTTTAAACTCAGTCTCACGGAGCCAAACGAATGAATTTTCGCCCATGAGTCACACTCAAAACAGTACCCCCTCTGCTACTAAATACGGACCCACAATTACTACAGCAGTAATTGACCCACGAATGACTCCAATTTATGTGGACGGTGGGAATATAATTTCAACCAAGGGCGGGATCTATCGGCTCAAGATGCCAGTCAACGATTTAGACGGAAACGACAAGCGACAGCAAGAGCGAAAAAAGTTACCAGCTAGTCACCAAACTCCAGATCGGTCCATCCAATCTCCAAATCCAGGGTTCACTCACAATTTCATAGCAGCACAGAGCGATTTTGAGGACGAAATAGATCCAGGGTCCAAAAGCGACTCTGAGTTACTACCCTCGATGAGAGCAGCAATGGAGAAACGTGTTAAGTTCAGCGACGGACCACCCCAGATCTCAAAGGTATCGAAAACATTCAGAAATTAACTATATTAATATCAAAATTAATATCGAGTTAGAGTTAATGGACAATGTAATTTGATGTTTCAGATTCCGCACAAGAGAAAGAAAACTTTGAAGAACAGATTCCAAAAGTTCACCAAAGAACTCGAAATGCACTTGAAGTCAACAAATTCTCAAGAGGCACGTATTTATTGAACAGAACTTTTTTATATCTAGAAATCAGCTATCTCTAATATTATTCTGTTATACCTTATGAAGCTAAGTTTTACTAAGTATGTACTAATTTTAAAGATATTTCAATTATTTACAGGTACCTGTAATACATTCCAATGATCACAGCCAAGAGGTTCAAAAAACCTCAGCCAGCCCAAGTCGAAGCCGATCCATGACTTTGAGACCGGAAGATCAACGACCGGGTAGAAGTTTGGACGACTTAGACCGCATCAACTCCAGTTTGCAACAGTACAAATTAAGCCAAACCCTTCCGACCTCTTCGCATAACTTAGTTGCATCTCCTTCGTCTAGTTCGATTCTCTCATCAAACGCCACAATCAGCAGACATGAACAACCGAACAATGCGGCAACACGCCAAGTGATGCTGGACCAGCGACATCAACAAGCTCCGCCAAGTCGAAGTCAGGGGGTTTTCGAGACTAGTTTTGTCGGCAAAGAGCCGAAACAAAGTCAACAACAACAACAACAGCCGACGGTAACTACAAGATTAAGCGCAGTTCCGTGCTATTACCGAACTCTGCCAGACAATAAAATTCAAGTTATGTATCCAGACAGTAACCAAGTCTTCCAGTTTTCTTACTCCAAAACAGTTCCTCCCATTTCTAAGAAGTCTTCGATGCAACTCATACAGCAAGTACAGCCCGATGGAAAACTGTCAGAGGAGAAATTATACTTCTTCGATCCTGTCCAACTGGACGAAGCAGACACCAGATTGCGATACCATGAGCAAATTATGAACCCGGGCAAAAGTCCCAAGAAGTATGTCAGTGGAACACCCGGCAAGAAACAGCCATGGCTTTTCAAAAAGACCATCCAAGTAAAAGAGAAAATGAAGCAGAATAAAAACAATAGAAGCGACTTAACTTCTTAGAACCCAATTTGTAAAAAAAAAACATTTAAATAAAGTTCATTCTTAAATGTTGTCAAAACTTGATGTCTAATATCCACTACATATTATATTGCATTATGATAAATCTAATTAAAATCGCAATTAAACTTTTAGTTAAAAAAACCTTTTCATATATAGACTACAAGAATCACTGCAAACTTTTGATAATACAGACGAAGACAATTTTTTAATATTACGTTGAAAAACTAAGGTAAAATTAACTTGAAAAAAAAAGATTAAAAACACATGCACAAAAATTGCAAATTGAACATCGAAAAAAAATTAAGATTACTCAAAATCTGGCTTGGTAAATTTACAAACTACAGAACTTGCAACACAGAGGCAACGCGGGGTTTCGCACCATTTGCCTCACTACACAAACAAAGCATTGCGAACTAGCAGACAAAATATGAAACGAGAGCCAATAAGTCAAAGTATGTCGAAAAAACCACAATTACAAAAATCATAATTTTATCTCGAATGATGTTCAGTTTGAGGAAAAGACGTTCAGCAGTAAAACCGTCGGCGCTACATAAGCAATCAGAAAAATCCATTAAATCTATACCAAGTCGAAAAGTGAAATGCTTAAATATCGAGTAATCAAGTGATTCTGTTAAACTAGTTGTTCAACTAGTGATTCTGTTAAACTAACGCTAAAAAAATCTTAATTCCGATTTGGTAACGCTTGAATATCGCAAGCGTAGTTATAGTTAAACTGCTTTCTTTGGAAAGTATACCATAAAAACTGTTGAAAATTTTGAACTACGACAGACTTTATGGTAATTTTATTTGAATTTTCACGAAATAGAGCATGTCAGCAAGCTGCACGTGAAAGTAACCTCGTGAAATTCAGACAAATTTTAAGAAAACTTGTTTACGCAAAAAAGTCTAGTTCCCGATTATAAGTATCTTTCCTCTCGCAAGTGAAACCAAGGGAACCCGGTTGCTGTTTAAGTAGCACATACTGTTCCGACGACCGAAATGACTGCAAACATTTCAAACTATTTACTATTTTCATGTGCAACAGCAATGGTTTGAAAATAAGCACAACATGTATACTCTGAGGCAAAGCGGAGTTTCGCACTGCTTGCGATACAACACAAACATATAAAAACTAAAAGAAGTCGAAGAAAATTAAAAAGGGTTGAAAAAAAAACTAGGTAGAACAAAAATATCGTATGTCTCGCTAAAAGGTAACTAGAGGCCAAGCTAAAGCTGGAGGTATGTATTTGATAATTTTGAATTTGTTACTGATGGGAGAGGTAACAGGTTTTTGAAACATTGGACTTTGCTCAAAACCTTTGTTGCTTCCCTACTAAAAAAAATCGATAAGAGTGAAAACTTAAGAGATATTGAAAACTTCCGAAGGACAGCATTTCTCCTAAAAAAAACAGGAGTCGCAGCTTTTGCTCGAAAAAATTCTCGCAACCGGTCAAAAATTCGGAACTCAGCACACCAAATAATAAAGGTAGCCATTCAATAACCTGTTGTTTCGATTAAACTCAAGATAGCAGATTTGGTAGGATAGTTATCGGGAAAAGGCAGAAAGTTAATAAAAGACGGTCAACAAATCAAAAATTTGACTTTTTCGAGAAGCAAAGCTTTTTGTGTTAAAACATGGCTTTTCCTCTTATGCTGAAGAAATTGACGCAACCTTTAAATCATAAGGGACAATCTTTTGCGTATATTTGAGTTCCACTTAAAACCATTTAACTTTGGTTGCCAAATTCTGCAACTATTGGAGTTACGAATGTCGTTTATCTATTTGAATAACAATTAGTTTAAATTGTACTGGTGGTATCACCTCTAAAAACTTGCAGTAAATTGTTAAATTTTCAATGCAGTAAATTGTTAAATTTTCAATGCAGTCAATTGTTAAACCTGCCCAATTAAAAGTAGTGATGTAACTACCTAATCATAAGTTCTTCCACAAGCCGCCAGGGAAAAATCAACAGGTATGTAAGTGTAACATAGTGCTTCACACCTATGTTAGCTGCTAATCATTAATTACCATAATTGGTGCGATTTAGATTAAAATGTCAATGCCATGTTACGTCAATGATAAAGTATTAAATCTATATTTACTTAATGAAAACAATGAGGAGAATGAAAGAAGAAGAAGAATTGGAGAGCCATTACAATCAAGGAGCTCAAAATAGTAATTGAAACATTAATACTCACTTTTATTAATCGATCAGCTTAGACTCTAGAGAAAGGGGGTAGCCATCACGAAGCACATCCCTGAGTCGAAGATATTAAGCCTAGACCGCACATCCATAACAACATACTTCATCACTCTAGACTACAAAAGCAACACTTATCGATCAAGCGTTTATAGCCAGAATCGCTATATTACATGGTGACTATGAGTGGGATGATGTTACAAGCCATTCAAAATGAGCTAAAGCTGATTGTAAAGGGAGAGTAAAAACAAGACGACTTTCAACAAAAGACGACTTCCAAATTCAAAAAGCTGAAACACGATCACGGCAGTAACTTGCCCAAACAGCAGGAAAAAGGGGGCAAAAAAACAGAAACTGACTACAGCCATTGAGAGACGACAGCATGGGGCAAAAGGAAACTACATCTGTTCTCTGTTGATGACAACCGCCACACTTCTTCAGGAGGAGTGATACAGAGTACAAAAACAGTTAGTTTAAACTTAAACTTAAAACTCTCGGTGCTTAAATTTAAATTGATGAGTGCTCATTAGAAACCAGTCATATGAAATCATCTATGAGTAACTATTGAAAACCTATCTAGTGCTCAAAAACTAAACGAAATTGGAAAAACATAGTGGAATCATATTAAAGCCGTAAGGAAAGGTAAATTAAAAAGAAAAAGAAGTCTCAAATATAGATAAAAGAGTTAATTAACTCCTACCCTTAACTAATCGTAGTACGCGGTACCTGTAGATTTTCTTAGAGACGATAAATACGTTTTCAACCTAAGTACCAATTGGGCATTGATAAATTCCACTATAAAATATCGACTGTTTCATCTGAAATCATTTATTGAATCAGACCTGACAATCAGATAAACTGCGATAAAATGGCGCACGCTCAAGTCTCAGTCGAACCATTTGGCGGAAGCGATACCGAAGATTTAGCCCAAATCGAACAGCTCTTCCAAGGATATGTGGGAGTCGCGGGAATCGCAAATAATCAGCAAGCGAACTTTCTACAACTGCACTTGCGAGACGACGCGTTGCGTTTCTATCAGACACTACCACCGCTAACGAAAGGCGACGTACCCCTTAGTTTAGCGGCACTACGTGACCATTTTTGCAACCCCCAATTGCAAGAGGTTCATGTCCTAAAACTCGAACAATCGAAATTCGATATCAAGAAGGACTCACCAGAGAATTACCTGGTAAACCTCACAAAAAAGGCACAACGAGCCTACCCGACACCGGACTTATCTGCGGTTGCCCCAATTGATGGAACACTAGCAGGCGCTGCCGCTGTTGCAGACACAGCGCGTTTCCATAGAGAAACGGCGCAACGCCAAGAAAGACTTGACGCAGAAAATGATAACAGGAACAATCAGATTAAACGTCTCTTCATAAAAGGCATGCCCAATTGGCTCCGTTCGAAGATGATGGAACAACCAGCTGCCAGAGCAGTACAAGAGCTCTGCAACCTTGCACGCAAACAAATGACAATTAGAGACGTCTGTCGTAATGAAGACTACCCAGAAGATAGCTTCAACGAAATAGGTAAGACAGTTTCTCACAACCTCATCAGTGCGTTGTCAAAACTAACAACAGCCCAGGAACTTATTGAGAAACAACTCAACGAAGTCCGTAGTGAGCTATCGGACCAAAAAAAATGATACAGGCGCGACCACAAGATGGCATCGGGAACACACAGCAGTGCCCACAACTGAATAGCCAAAACATTGGCGGGAATAACAGCCGAACCCAGCATCAACAGGGAAGAAATGCACATAATCAATGAACTGAAAATGGCTCAAATCAAAACTATATGCCAGTCCCTACTCAAGGAAATGGAGATGGGCAACAAGGATACAACCAAAGAAGAGATAGATTCAATAAACGAAAAAGGAACGGACAGCAGAGAAATGATGGGGGATACGGAAACCAAGGTTTCCCTGGATTCCAAAAAATGCAGTACCTCCCACAAATGTTCCAGTTTCCCCCACAGATACCTGGAATTCAACCGAACCCATAGTTCCAACAAAACCAGAACTATCCTCAAAAACAACAGAATGTCCAATTCCCTCCGAACCAGATGTACCCTCAACAACACCAACAGCAACAAGCGATAGCCACGCAGCCACAACAGAACAACCCGTTTGCCCAACAAGCCTCACAACCAATGATGGAGCAGGTGCACACCCAAAATCCTAGTACATCAGCAGTACGCACTGGATCGAAGTTTTGTGACCACTGCGGGAAGTTTGGCCATACTATCAGCCAATGTTGGTACAAACCCAAGCCACAGGGACAAGAGCAACAAAATTTCCCGTTCCAAGTGGAACCAAAAAACTAATTCAGCCACAGAGTCAGTCAGTCAAATCATCTAAATCACAAAGATCGCGAAAATCACGCAAAATAAATCTTCAAGACGTAATAGACAATGAAATTATTGATCTGTACGCAGTCATCCCAAATGAAGGAACAGTGCTAACCTATATGAAAATAAGATTCGCGTCAGGCCTTCCAAGAAGAGTATTGATTGACACAGGAGCATGTGCGAACGTTGTTTCGAAACGCACATTCGATGAAATCAAAAAAGAAAAAACATTATTCGCGCCCTATAAAACGGCAAAATCAAGCCTCAAGCAAGTGAGAATGGCAGGAGGGCAACTGGTGTCAATAGAAACCGAAGTAACTATTGAATTTCATATGGCAGACATGAACTTTACGGAAACAATCCTAGTGTTGATTTCGGCCAATTCAACAATCCTCGGAAACCCTTTCTTCAAAAAACACCATATACATGTCTGCCCAAAATACAACTTACTTCACTTTCCCGATTTGACACTCCAAATCAATGAAATTAAACCCGTCAATGCACCCAGACGCACCAACCGAGTGAAAAAATTCCCTCTAGTTCTCACCAAGAAA